CAGACCGGACATTTTTTTTTGTTTGATCAAGCTTATAGCTGATTTTTTTTTGGTGTGTTTCAAATGAATCACATATGGTGGTATTTATAGAAATTTTCGAATCTGAGAATTTACTAGGAAATTGCTAGAAAAAGTAGGTACAAAACACGTTTTTGATTTAAATTCGATATTTTCTATCTTTTTCCTCTTAATTTCGTAGTAAAAAATCATTTCCTCCTAATTTCGTAGTAAACAATTACTAGGACTTTACGAGGAAAAGTATTACTATGAGTTTACGAGGAAAATAACTTTTTCCTCGTAAGGGCCTCGTAAGTTTACTTCGAGTTTACGAGGAAACTGTTTTCTCGTAAGTTTACGAGAACTTTACGAGGAAAAGTGGTTTCCTCGTAAACTCGAAGTAAATTCGTAGTATTTTTACGAGGAAATATTTCCTAGTAAAGTTTCCTAGTAAATACTTAGTTTTCTTGTAGTGAATAACTTAGCGGGATTTGCTAGCTCTTAGAAATTCACCAAATATGCAGTGCGCTTTTACAGCTCCATACGTTAAGATATAATCATTGAAAAAAATAAAAACATTTACTATTGTGGAATATTATATGTTGCTTAAAAAAACAATGATTTATTTTACAAGCAGAGGAAACCATAAACATACAATCCTATGACGTCTAATGATTTATTAAAGACACTAAAACTATATTCCAGTTCAAATACATCAAATTTAATAATTTTACATCAAATCTCTCTTTAATTACTAGTAAACTTAGGACGCATAAATTAAATCAAAACTGTTCACATATAAGATATGTAAGAAATAATGGTGAGAAAAGAAAAAGGAAGGTAAGGACATCATTATCGGTAGAGACCTTTTAGGGTTCTTAAATTTTCTCTTTTTTTTTAATTTAAAATAAAAAATAAAAAATAAAAATGAACCAATTGTAGGCCGTCACGCGTTGCTGAGGTCCGAAAACAGTCCAAAGACCAAACCAAAACGTTTCTTAATTAACAAACTTCTCTCCTCGGTTTTGCAATTTTTGTGCCCCCCCCCCCTTAAGATTCCACCTAAGATACACCAATAATGTTGCTCCAAAGAGAAGTAAATCTGACATTCAAGATTTAAAATAAGCCTTTATGTTATGAATCCATTGTTATTTATGCATAGTTTATGAAATATATGTTACCACTGAATATTAAATGTGTTTGACATTTTGTTATATTTATAACTGATAAATATAATTTTTTTAATCTAAAGAAAAAAATCCATTTCAAATGGAAAGATTGTGTTAAAGACAATAAAAACAAAAGATTTTAAAATCCTTCACTTTGAGTAGTAATCTGATGTATATTATTGTTAGATTTTCTTACCCTTCTCTTTTTTATTGAAACTAATTGTAACTTCACATATCAATAAAAGTATAATATTTTACTGCTCCATAAGTTAAAAATCTAATTTTTGAAATAAACAGAAAACAATTACTTTTGTGGAATCTTATATTTTGATATTTAAAATAATAAAAACAACAACTAATGAGTTATCTTGCAGTCTAAGAAAACTATAAACATACAATCCTATGAAGTTTAATGATTTATTAAAGACATTAAAATTATATTCCAGTTCAAATACATCAATATCTAATAATATTTCACTTCTCCAAAATTAATAATTTTAATTTTCTTTGTAATTGTGAAATGATTGTCCTGTCAGTGTTGTTTATATAACGGCGCATTCATCAAATAAAATTTTCAAACAAACAAAAATAATCAAAAATAAAGTAGAGAAACCTCTCTACATTAATCCATCTCTGATCATGAATGGCTTGCCTCTGCACCTCCTGGATGAGATTCTATTCAGATTAGATTGCAAATCCTAGGGATGATGCAATGCACAAATAGATATATCAAATCACATATTTCTGACGACCCGGATTTTGAAGTCGGATACTCTACTCGTGTCGGATCAAGTTTCTTTTACACTGTAAGCAAGGGCTACTCTTCTGTCTTCTACCAGCCTTTCGACTCTTCATGTGTTTCTATGTCACCTGTAAAAGATATACATATGTGTATTAGTGTATAGATATATGTTATCAACTCGGCTCCTACTCCGGCCATCTTCTATTGTACCTTTGTGGCCTCTTTGTCGTTAATCCCCTCACAAAAAAATATAGACTCCTGGATCATTCTGGCTCCAAGCTTCTCTCTATAATAGTTCTTGATGTTAACACGGTCGCAACAGAGAGAACAATGTGTGTTGGTTTTGTGGTCGATAGAACCTCGAAAAGTTTCAAGATCATTTGCATACTCGAGATGGATACGATGTACGGGTTCGAGATCAGCGACGGAGATTCCTGGAGATTATCTGAAACAACCATTAGTTGTACGTCAAAAAGTGATCTTGTTGGGGTCAAAATCGGTACGACGGAATTAATAGCCAAAACTTTCCGCAAGAATACAAAAAGAACAGTTTTATAAAGCTCGAGAATCGTTTTATAAAACTCGAGAAATCATTTTATAAAACTCGAGAAATCGTTTTATAAAGCTCGAGAATCGTTTTATAAAACTCGAGAATCGTTTTATAAAACTCGAGAAATCGTTTTATAAAACTCGAGAAATCGTTTTATAAAGCTCGAGAATCGTTTTATAAAACTCGAGAAATCGTTTTATAAAACTCGAGGAATCGTTTTATAAAGCTCAAGAATCGTTTTATAAAACTCGAGAATCGTTTTATAAAACTCGAGAAACCGTTTTATAAAACTCGAGAATCGTTTTATAAAGTTCGAGAATCGTTTTATAAAACTCGAGAATCGTTTTATAAAGCTCGAGAAACCGTTTTATAAAACTCGAGAATCGTTTTATAAAACTCGAGAATCGTTTTATAAAACTCGAGAAACTGTTTTATAAAACTCGAGAAATCGTTTTATAAAACTCGAGAAACATTTTATAAAACTCGAGAAACCGTTTTATAAAACTCGCTTTATAAAACTCGAGAAACCGTTTTATAAAACTCGAGAATCGTTTTATAAAACTCGAGAATCGTTTTATAAAACTCGAGAAACCGTTTTATAAAATTCGAGAATCGTTTTATAAAGCTCGAGAATCATTTTATAAAACTCGAAGATCGTTTTTATAAAACTCAAAAGTCGTTTTATGAAATCCGAAGATCGTTTTATTAAACTCGAGAATCGTTTTACAAAACCGGAAAAAACCGAAAAAGCCGTAAAACGCGAACTAGTCGCAACTAAGAAACACTCTCTAGATCGCCCATCGGCGAACTAAGCCGGGCCCGGCTTAGATCGCCGATGGGCGAACTAAGAGTCACTCTTTAGATCGCCCATCGGCGTACTAAAACATTCATGACTAGTTCGCCCATCGGCGTACTAAGCCAGCCCATCGGCGTACTAAGCCGGGCCTGGCTTAGTACGCCGATGGGCGAACTAAAAACATCTCGAACACTCCGCGTCTCGATTTCCCGCATTCCCGATTCGAAACTTACGTCTTTCGACAAGGTCACATTCTAAACCACGGCCGAAATATCTCTCGTTCCATCTCGATCCGACTTACCGTTCGAGTTTTACGATAAAAACTGTAAAACTTCGTTTTCTCGGAAAGAACTCGAGGAAATCGTATAAAACGGCAATGGTTAAACGAAACACCGAACATTGCCTAAACTATACGATTTATTTGAGATTTCTCGTTAAAATCGTAAAAAACGCGCTTTTAATAAAAAACGCCGAGTAAGTCGTAAAAAACGTCTTTTTAATAAAAGTCGAGTAAATCATAAAACTTTGCGATTAACTCGAGAAATTCATTAAAAACGACGTCAGATCAGGAAACGATCCCGTAAAAGTCGGAAAACGATTTTTATCGCAAAACGGACCGGAAGGACCTAAAACGCGATAAAAACCCATCTCGCGATTTCAACGGAATCTAACCCGCAGATTTGATAACGTTTTGGCGGTTTACTCGCAGAAAGCAAATAAAAGTCATGTTTGAACATAAAAGGAAGGTTTGAAGAGAAATAGAAGATTTCCGCAGAAGAAAAGGAATGATCGAGAAGAATGGAAAATTCCCGATTTAAGTCAAATCTGGGCGAAATGGAAAGATAGGATAGCCAAGACGAGGAGTATATAAAGAGGAGGTCTAGGGAAGAAGCACACACACGAAATTCAGAGCTCTCACCACCAAAACTAGCATCTAGGAATATTTCCGTTTTTCTGTTAGCAAGCTGCGTCTCAATTAGGGTTTTCTAGTTCTTACGCTTTCGGCAATTCTTTTTGTACCAGTTCTACGCAGATTCGGAATAAGAACCTCTTTGCTCTCTGTTTTCGTTTATTCTCATTTAAATTCTAAGTTATCGTTTTCTTATTTTCGTTGTGCGGTTCTCGCAGATAACCGGTTCCTCTGGAAACTTAGGGTTTTCCCNGTTCTTACGCTTTCGGCAATTCTTTTTGTACCAGTTCTACGCAGATTCGGAATAAGAACCTCTTTGCTCTCTGTTTTCGTTTATTCTCATTTAAATTCTAAGTTATCGTTTTCTTATTTTCGTTGTGCGGTTCTCGCAGATAACCGGTTCCTCTGGAAACTTAGGGTTTTCCCGAAGTTTCCTTATTTACGATTTATTTTACAGTAGGGTGAAATCGACTCCCACAGTTTGGCGCTAGAAGGAGGGGGGGTCGGATCTATCTTACACCGTAACCGCAACATGCCCAACGAAGAAACGTTGACTGGTGACAACCAAACTCGCGACGAACGCGACAACGTTGAAACACCGCTACCAAAAGACGCGCCTGCGGCCAACGCTACAAACGCTAATGCCGAGACCGTCGAAAAGATGCATTCCGAGTTTAACAAAAAATCGGAAGAGCAGGAAAAGCTCATTGGTTCACTCGCAAAACGGCTCGAAACCCTAACTGCGAGAACCAAAGCAATTCGCCCCCGCGGAACTACCAAAATCCGCGGAAGGAGACTCGATTTCGGCCTTCAACAAGAAGATCAAGAACGTACCTATGACGAATACTGGACTTCAATACTGGAGTGTGGTTGCATATGATGGTAAACATCTGGTCGTGAAAGATGAAGATAAGAGTTGTCATATAAGAAGAGGAGTGGCTCGTGTTTACGACATGGAAGCTAACAGTTGGGGACCTTCGTGGTTTACCAAGGATTTGGGATATCACCACCTAAACTTCTATAAATTTACACCCTCTCTGTCCTTTTACCGGGAGGATAAGCAAACAAAGGTGGTTTTGGCATCCGATGACAAAACCATCCATTTTCTGACTAAAATTATGAGACTAACTGATCCAACTAAGTAAACAGTCTTATCCCTTATTGATAATATCTAAAACTATCTTGATTTGTATGCAAATGCTTGTTTCCCACCTGATTTTCTGATAGGAGTCACATGATTTAAGCCTTTTGGAGTTGATAGCATCAGTTGAATAAGATGTTTTTTTTTTTGTTTTCTTAGCAGATCTAATGTTTGTATTCTCAGACATTATTTATTTATCAAGCAATAACAAAATAAATGATCAAATATGCAATTTAAGAAAAGGAAAAGAAAAATCACCTAAAAGTTCAAAGGAGAAAATGTAAAATAATAATAATATATCCAATCTTCTTATCTTGGAAGATTGTCATTTTTTTAACACTGTTTAGTTATGCATTACAAACTATGAGAAATATTACATAGAAGATATTACAGCCAACAATTCTACCTGTCTTATGCGGCGGATTCACGTCTGACTGCATAACCATGAGCTGCTCTATGAGATCCATTCTGACGTTACGCCTTGTGCCATGCTGAATATCTGTTGTAAGCCTTTTCTCCAATAATCTTACATAATTCTCCATTCACTTTCTCTGGGAATTTAAACCCTCTTGATGTAGAAACTACATAGCCTAGGATTTGAACCTCAGCCCTGATGTAGAAGCCTGTAAACCATAACCACTAGGTTACGGTGCTTCTACAAAAGAAGATTATCATTTGGGTTTTTATTCCTATAGGTGTGACTAAGAATTTAATCTAGTTAATTAATCTTGTTGTATACTGGTTCCAACCAGTTGCATTAATATCATCACATGAAGCCTCCAAGCAATACAAAAGCACTCTACGCAGGTCCGGCTCTAAACATATTTAGACTCAGTGCATAATCAATATATTTAGGGTCTTTTCTTGCAAAATTAAAAAATTTAAGGTCCTTTCTAGTAAGAAATTAAAATTTTAGGGTCTTCATCTACAAAATATACAAAAAAAAATTGTAGGACCCTGTGCAATTTCTCCCCACACGTCATAAGCCGGCACTGACTCTATGCATTATAAAAACAAATGAGGTTGATCCCATAACTTTCGTAATGTAAATTAAGAAATTTCAGAGTTTGATCATTAAATATGGTAACACAATCTTAGACTTAAATCAATCTCTTAATACATTCCTACATCTCTTCTTAGGGAGATCATCATTTGGGTTTTGATTCCTACATTCCTCACTACAAGAAAACTAAGCATTTACTAGAAAATTTTACTAGGAAGAATCTTCCTCGTAAAGTTACTAAGTATTTACTAGGATCTTACGAGGAAAGCAAATTTCCTCGTAAGATCCTCGAAAACTTACGAGAAAATATTTTCCTCGTAAGACTATAGTAAATTTACGAGGATCTTACGAGGAAAAAGTACTTTTCCTCGTAAAGCCGTAGTAAAGACTTTCCTCGTAAAGGCATAGTAAAATATTACTACGGAATTAGAAGGAAACAGTTTATTACTACGAAATTAGGAGGAAATGGATAGGAAATATCGAATTTAAATAAAACACCTGTTTTGTACCTACTTTTCCTAGCAATTTCCTAGTAAATGCTCAGATTCAAAAATTTCTATAAATACCACCTTCTGTGATTCATTTGAAACACACCAAAAAAATCAGCTATAAGCTTGATCAAACACAAAAAAATGTCCGGTCCGGGAAATATTTTCGAGTTGCGGCAGTGGATGTATTCACACAGAGATAATAACGGGAGGGTGACGAACGAATTTCTGGAAGGGTTGGAGACGTTCATGCATCAAGCAGATTCTACACCACTCACGCAGGAAAGTGGTAAGATGTTCTGTCCT